AGCCATCAGCCAGCACAGGAGCTACGGCCCACTCGCGCGAACAGCGCGCTCTCACACACACAAGAAGTAAAGTATACGAAGGCGGAAGGAAACTAGAGCGCGCTGTTCGCGCGAGTGGGCCGTAGCTCCTGTGCTGGCTGATGGCTAATTCCTGCATTGCGCGGACAGTATGTGTCGTGCTTGTAAGGGCCGCAAGCTGTACGGCCCACTTGCGCGAACAGCGCGCTTTAGCTTACACACTTACACACACTTACACACAAGAGATTGCGGAGTCTAGCACGCGGATCTATCCTGTGAAGCGCTCGCGCGGGAGTCGAACCCGCAGGGGGCTCCACACATTGGTGGGCGGCTCCCCATTCCTGCCCGTAGGGAGCGAGCGTGTCGTCCGGAGTGTCCCCCTTACTCCGGACGCTGTCATTTAACGCCGTACAGTGGCGGGTCGTGGTTTCAACTCAACTCAACTCAACTCAACTCAACTAGTCCTGGACCGGGCGGGTCCACCGCGCTTCCAGCTGTCGCGCATGCTCAAACTCGGCTGTATAGCGCTGCTCCGTCTCGCGCGCTGCCTGCTTCAGCAGGCGCAGGTTGGCGGCCAGGTCCGGCTCGAGGTTAGTCACGCTGAGGAACTGCTTGATTATCCTCTTGCGCTCATGCGGTGTAGTGTAGAGCGGCCGGAGCAGACGGACGTGGTCCAGCGTCTTGAAGCGGGTCAGCAGCACATACAGGGTGGCGCGCTTGATGCCGTTGGGTGGGACAGCGAGATCCACCAGCCAGCACTCGTCTTTGAAGCTGCGGCCTTGCACGAAGTAATCGGTGACCGCCTGGCGGTCGCCGAGCGGCACGTTCAGGCGCCGGATCTGCTTTGTGATGGTGCCATACCCGGCGGCAGGCATCTCCACCTCGGCAATGCAAGACGCCCGGGGTGACAGGATGAAGGCACCACCCCTGCTGGCGTAGTCTCCAAGGCCCTGCAGCACGGTGCCGGGGATGTGGCCGCTTATAGGCCGCACAATGACGGCCGCTGGAAGGTACTTGAGCCGGCGGTAGGGGCCACGGCCGTCATCGGCTGGCTCGCGGCCATCCTCAAGCAGGCCGCAGGCTTCCACCTCGTTGTTGTGGCTCGCTCCGGCATCGGCAGCTGTCGTATCAAGGAGGATGTATCGGGCGCCATGGTAGTACCACGTGTCGGCGGTGGTGTGGCCAAACTCGTGATCCTTGATCCGCATCGCAACTGCTTTCTCCACGTGTGTCAGGGCCGGTTCCACAGCAGCACCGCGCTTCTGGACAGGGACGTGATCCGCATTCCACACCACAAGGCGCTGATTCTTGCGCTGTGCCTCCAGCATGATGAGCCGGGTGTTGAGTGTGTGGCGTGGTTCGTTCCTCTGCAGCACGACGCGCGGCTCGAGGTGCGCCAGGTCGGCCAAGTCGACGATGGCGCGGCTGTTGAGGTCGTCGACCATCTCGGCTATGCGCTGCTCGGTGGCTGGCTCACCGCCGAACATAGAGGCGTACTCTGTCAGGCGACGACCAGAGGGGCTGCTGTCCTGGCGCTGCTGCTTCTCCAGCAAGAAGACCGTCTTAGCCAGGGATCGGTAAACCCGGAAGCCCTCGAGTATGCAGCTCTGAGTCTGCGGGACAGCCCGGGGCCGGCGTGCTGCTGCTTCGGGTTGCTGCTGACCGCCTTGAGATCCAGCGGCGGCCTCATTAGGGTCGCCATCGTTGGCCTCCTCTCCGTGCAGAGGTTGCGCGGTTGGGACAGAGGGCGAGAACTGGGGGTTGCATTCCACAGCAGCGGCGTACCGGTAGAGGGGCGGGCCACCTGGCTTCGGGTGCTGGAACTCGTCGCCAGTGTTGGCGCTGGGACGGCCGCTGAAGATGGTGGCGGCGGGGTGGTCGCCGGCGAGATGTGGTGGCGGTAACAGGTGACGGGTGCAGGACTGGTTGCATGCACCCAGGTGGTCCAGGCTGTTCATGCCAATCTCGTCAATGATGAGCGCACCATCGCCGACATTACGATGCACCTGTAGGCTGGCTGCGCTGCCTTTCCTGACGCTGTCCGCTCGGTTGCTGCCAGCAGATAGGGCGAACATGGCGTGGGTAGAGAGGCTGCGATGTACCGGCGTGCTGAAGGCAGTTGCAGCAGCCCATGAGTAGGCGCAGGTGGCCGCCCAGTGCGGGCAGCCATGCTGGAAGGTGTACCACAGGAGCACTTGTACGAACTGGCTCTTTCCGGTACCGGGCTTGCCCTCCACAAGCATCTGCGGTGGGTCGCCAGGGTTGGGCTCATCGCGGCGATCGAAGTACCGAGCCATGAGCATGAAGGGCACGGCCTGGTGGGGGGCAAGCGTGAACAGCTCGATGGTGTCGTCGATGCTGGGCGGCTGGGGGAGGTGCACATAGAGGGGCATGCGAGCCTGTTCAGTCCGCTCAGGAGTGCCAGGCATGCGCACGATGGCGACCAGGGGTCTGCTGGTGGGGCGGTGCAGCTCGACATGAGGGGTATCCATCTCAGGTGTGGCCGTCAGTCCCGCGTGGGCGCCCCCATCTGCCTCAACAGTGCCGGCTGCTGCTGCAACGAGATACCACTTCAGACGCTTTGCTGCCTCAGTCAGGAGGGGCAGGTCCGCTGGTGTGATCCGACGGCTGAAACGATCGCTGCCTGCACCATGGCCGTCCGCTAGGGCCGGGGCTCGGCAGCGTCGTGCTGCATCATAGGCATACACGCCAGCAGCGTTGGTGCAGTCAAACAGGTCCGTAAGAGCGACGGCGGCGAGGTCGGTGCCAGCCGTCGGATACTCCTGACCTGGGATGTACACGAAGTGCTCCAGCTGGTCCTCGGCAGGCAGCTGTGTTTCAGGATCAGGCCTGAGATGCCCGCGGATGCCATCATCGGTATCTCCATCCGAAGCGCTCGTGCTGTCACCTTCAGGCAGCGCAGCTGCTGCCGCTGCTGCACGCTGCTGGCGGCGCCGCTGGTTGTACTCCGCCTGACGGCGGGCTTTCCCAGCGTGGTCCTCTTCGATGTTGTCCAGCAGCACCGTCACGTACGCTTGGTATGAGCGACCTGCCTCGGTAGTGCCCAGCTCTGCCCACCAGGTGTCGTAGGCTTCCTTTACACTCAGCCCGGGGGGGATGGGCTGACCCCGGTGAGCTTTGAAAGTACCCAGGACAAACGCGTAGTACTGCGCCATGCCCGCAGCAGAGGTGCCAGGGCGGGGCCGGCGGGGAAGAGAGCCTCCAAGCTGTACATATCGCGGCCGCGGCAGGCGGATGTGGACATGTGTTCTGTACAGCGGATGCGTGCCGTGGAAGGCCACCAGGCGGGGCAGCTCCGTGGCTGTCTGAGACGTTGGCTGGTCGAGTGTCGCTGCAGCTGTAGGAGCAGGTGGCTCAGGAGGAGTGGCCGGGGCTGCAGTCAGCAGAGGCACAGGGGCAGGCACAGGGGCGGTTATGGGTGTGGCCGGGGTAGTGCGCTTGCGGCGTCGAACTGCCACCGGACTCTGTAGACCCAATCGCTCTCGGTGCGGGTGCTGAGCTGGCGGCACACGTCGGACCTCATAGTTGGAGGATAGGTTGTACACGCTGCAGTCCAGGCCGCTGAGTTCTTCCCCCCGCAGCACGTAGTTATGCACGGCGTTGGTCACCGTGTAGCCCTCTTGCTCTTCGGCCTCCACCAGCACCGCCGCTGTGGTCGCCACCTCAGGAGATTGGTCGGCGCCCGCAGATAGCGCTGTGAACGCGTCTACCTGCAGGTATGCGCACTCGAACGTCGCCTCGAATGTGGAATGGCCGTCCAGCTTCATGGCGACAAGCGCCATACCAGCCGTAATGGCAGCGGTCATGCGATGCACAGTGGCACACATGTTGCCAAAGGCGGTGGGCCCACTGGCACCCGGATTCGGCGTCCTTCCAGCCAGCAGGAAGTCCTGCACTCGGGTAAGAGCGTTGCACGTCAGCTGCGCCTGGCTGTCGTTGATGCGCTTGCCAGTGTACTTCGTGCTGTAGTAGGCAGAGTCGCGGGCGCGGTCAGCAGCAGGCTGCAGCAGCACACAGTCCCCCCGCTCATCTTCAGGGCGGGCCAGTTGCGCTGCTGCCTCTGCCGTGTAGACGCGATCCACCTCGCACGCCAGAGTAAACAGCTGGTTGCACCCAAATGCCAGCGCTGCAGCTGGCATATGCGGTACAATGTTCAGGCCCAATCATGGCAGAAGGAAGAGGCCGCCGGTGCCAATCCACTGGAAGGCGCTGCGCAGGACACGCGGGAACGCCATGCCACAGCTATCATCTGTGCCACGGCAGCCGTGTCGCTTGCACGTGTCGTTATGCGTATGAGTAAGCGTGCTGCAAATGACGGCTGCGTGGTGCGCACGGCAAGCAGTGTGCCGGGGAGGCGGCGGGAGTCCGCCACCTGCACAGCCGGCGAGCCTGCCAAAATCGTACGCTGCAGGCGGGCAGGACTTGTCCACGGGCGGAGGTGCACGGCCATGCTGCTGGGCCTCTTCGACGGTCATGTCCATGATGTAGTGTTCTGCACCGCGGGTGAAAGGGTCATAGTACGGCGAGGGATACCACATGGCGCACAGGGCGTATGCCAGGGCCAGCGCTCGGCAGTTGGGTCCACTGAACAGTGCCTGAAGGCGCTCGACTGCGAACGTGGCCACATGCGCAACACCGTGGATGTGCAGGGCAAGGCAGCCGCTCTGCTCCACCTTGACCGCCACCTCAAACGTGAGCCCACAGAAGCAGCGCGGGTTCGTCTGCTGCATGGCGCCCGGCGCGAAGCCGAAGAGCTCCTCCACCAGAACCTCCTTGGTGGCCACCAGCAGGGCGGCGCAACTGTACGGGTCATCCTTCACACGCCGCCACTTCTCCACCGTGCTCGGGATATGTTGCGGTCGTCCGTCATCGTCGAAGTCCAACACCTGTCCGGAGGCCACGACTGCACAGGCTGCGTGCATATCTGCCGGATTTACGGTGAAGAACAGCGGAGGCCAGCCAATGGTGAGGGCGGCTGCACGCATCTTGGATCGGGCACCGTTGTAGTACGCGTCTGTGAGGTCGAGGCGCAGAGT